GTGTGTGTGTGTGTGTGTGTGTGTGTGTGTGAAGAATAGGTGTTCCATGGAAGTCTGCCACAAGGGCTATCTCCAGTAACACTCCCTTGGCAGTTATTAGCACAGATGCTTCCACCCTCTAGAGCAAGGACAGCGATTGTGTTTTGAAATCTAACATTCTCACAAAGCCTTGGCCTTTGGGAGTGATCTCAGCTGGGAAAGTAACACTATCAGCCAGAGCAATTGGCAGCAGATAAGTCTAGCAAATCCTTTCAAACATCAGGTGAGGAGGAGCAGTGAAGATGCTATGTAACATGAGGAACCAAGACAGCTACAACTGCAAACAGAACAGGTTAATGTACTTTACAAAACACACTGCACTTGTGTTTAATATTTATAATACAGGCACATTTGAGAAGTGCAGTGCCTTTTAAATAGATTTGGACAGCTCGTATATTTGAAATATATTAAACCATGAGGATGTATTTTTAATTATCTGTTTAATGATGCTGAAACCACATTGGAAATACTATTCTTTAGAGGAGGAGAGAACATGACATCTTCCATTCCCAGAGGAGTGGGGGTTACCCACAGAGTTTACACACCTCTGTATTCCTCTTCACACCTCTGTCTTTGTCATCAACCCTCACAATCTCATGAGAGTGGGAAATGAGACAAAATCCCAAAATGAGGTTCACAAACAAAACATGCAGCAGGGAGGCCAAATCAATGAGGGATCTATTTCTGGACATAGCTCTCTTTCAGACCCAATTTTTCTGCTGTGAGTCACTGACAGCAGAGATGACCCCCAACTATAATCCCAGAGTTGAACTCTACAGTCTTTGAAGAATTTCCAAATCCAGATCTGCACCACAAGGCTGTGACTCCTGACAGTTTCTGAGATTCAGCAATAAGCAACATGAGATTCAGCAATAAGCTGACCAGCTGGGGTAGAGGAAAGCCAGTGTGTCCTTGGCCAGCAGAAGAATGCCACACAGAGTGAGAAAAGTACCATGTCCTCCACCCTTCCAAGACAGAATCAAAGCAGAGAATCTCCTAGCTAGACCCAGCCACCATTTCTATAAGGATTGACAAAAAAAAAATGATTCCTCCTAGTTCCCTGGTATGGTACAGTCTTGCATGGATACAAAATTTGTATCTGCATCCACATCTGTATCTGCAAAAATGACCAGTGTATATCCACATTGAAATCCACAATATTGCAAATTTGCAGGGTTCTAGATACAAAATGTGTATCCACATCCACATCTGCAAAAATGAGCTGTGGATGCCCATGGATATAAAGCAAATATTCATGGATGTGCTGGGCTCTTCAGATAGGACACCAGAGAGACCCTACAGATTTCATGTTTCTCTCTCTAGTGACTCTACTGACATCAAATTTCATACACAAAATTTTAAAGTAACACTTTTTCTCTCACTTAATTCCTACAGCAAAGCCTATTTCAGGACTGTGGATCTTGAGAGAACTGGGCTGTTTCGTTTCTAGATGCATACCAGAAACACCAATCCACTGCCTTGCACTCTCTTCTGCCTACCTCTCTCATCAGCAGGCACTTTCCCCAGGGTTTCCTATTACCCCCTCCCCTCCTTAGCGGATTACTCCCTAATGAATGGCAGAGAGATTACAGACACCACTATGTGATCCCATGTCACACAGACCTCACAGAGACTGGATCAAGGACCCAATACTTGAAATGCTTTGGACTAAATTTTGGTCCCTTTAAAATCAACAGGAGTTTTTTCAGTAGTTTAGTGGGACTAGAATTTGTCTCTTTCCCCATCAGACTGCCTTTAAGACATTAAATCTAGGCAGGGATCTATCTCCAGCATGCAGGCAGGGAGCTGTGTATCTCTGCTGCCACCAGGAGAAAGAGGGTTCTCCTGATGGGTATAATCTGGTTTAATCACTGCTGAATGTTTGCCAATCCAGCCATATACGGGCAATGATCATTAGTTCAAAGGGCTGCAGATATATCTCCTATTCCTGGAGACTCTAAGATGACATTTTCTAAGTTATCTACAGTTTAACTGGAGCTATGAATCTTCTTTGCGGTTGATAGGGGATTAGTCCACAAACAGCTATGATGCTTTGAGTCCTTAAAAAAAAGAAAGAAAGAAAGAAAACCCTAAAAAAAAATCTTGACTCTAAAGCAGTGCTCAGCCAAGAGCTCTCAATTTATTGTTTATTTTAAACCACCCCCAGCTGTAAAATGCCATTAGGATAGTTTGTATGAGGCTTTGCCCCAACACAGTTTAGGTCTCTTTTACTATGGGTAGATGAGGGGCTCAAATCTCCTCCCACTTACACTGCCTTTGCATGGGTGTAACTCCATTGACTTTTATCATAATTTGCATCTACAACAGCAAGATCAGAACCAGGCCAGTGTCTGCCCATCAAAAGATAAGTCTGAGAGGGAACAGTGCTCACATCTGCTGTCCAGTTAATTTCACATGAAAAAAAAAGGACAGGACTGGAGGGTCTGGCCTATTGATCCTTAGAAAAAAGTCACAGTTGGTTTGAGCTTGAAACTGAGATGCCAGCTTGACAAATAGCACAACATTCTTCCCTTAATAAAGTCATCAGTGTCTTTCTTTCCATTGCAGAACCACCTGGAATAAGGGCAGCCAGGGAACAGAGTCAAAATCTCTCATTTGTTGGCTCTGCTAGGTTGTCCCCTTCTGGGCTACAGTGAGAAGACCAGTGTTCCCTTAGGCTGCTGGTGAGAAGGTTAGCCAAAGCAATTAGTGAGGGCCTTGCTACCATTCATAAACTGGGGAAACCTCTCCCTCTAGCAAGGAGGTAATGTCACTCATCTTCAGTAATTGAACTGACTGAACTGCAACCCCAGATCTAGCTGGCCCGTATGCAGTAATTTCTGTGGGGAGCACTTTTTTAGTAAATGTGGACTGCAAGGGTGCAAATGCACTCACAGCCTATACTCCCCCAAATAAGTGTGCTCTAGCTGGCCAGGGAAAGGCAGGAGAGGCATTCTGCTTGAGCCTTCCTTCCCTGCTTCTCCGGGCAGCCCAGGGAAGACTGGGACTGACATCTACCCCCACCCCCAGGAGTGAGGCTCAGCACCAGCCTTGCTCCTGGAGGAGGGGGAGTGAACCTTCCCTGGCTGGCTGGAGCATGCGGGAGGGTGACTCAGGCAGTGTGCCCCTTCTGTCTT